TCCACATGATAATGTTTAATGGATATTTATAAATTGTGTGTCATCATTTGCAGCATAACATTGAATAACAAAGAAAGATATATAAAAGACAGCTGCAGAATGTGAGTTGTCATGACAACTTATAAGAAAAGGTGATAAAAGGGTAATGCTTATTTAATTTTCTTCCAAACCAACAAGAAAGCAGTTAGATATATTTAATTCAAAATATTTACTTAAACTGATCACTGAGCTGTTTCGGACTCAATGTCCTTCTTCAAAGGTACTACTGTTACCTTTAACGCTAAGGACTAGAGCCTTTAAAGCGATCGACTCACCACGTGAATTATTTCTTTCGTGATAAATATTGGAATTCTTGATCCTACATTCGAAAAGGGACACAAGAACTCTAAAATATTGAATTCGCTATGTTTTATTTCTAGTTCTTTCTTCGTAATAACAAGGCCGTTTGCTTTGAGAGCAACAGACCTAATTCGTAGCAACGCAGACTGCTTGAACAGTCCACGGTATTTTAGAACACAATAGTATACAAAACTTTTATTTTCATTTATGAGGTCATGTTATACGTTAGAGGACGCCTTACCACAAGCTTTTTATCTTAATCTTATGAAATGAAGAAAATTGGCATTGAAATGATTTGGAAGATATCTAACAATTTAAGCACTAATTATTACAAATGTTTCATAAATGTCTCTTATATAATATTTAAGAACAGTGTCTTAGCATAAATAAACTACAGATAGATAGCTATAAAGACGTTATTCCCATTTAAAAAACACTATATATTTTCTCAAATATTGCCAATAAATCAAATTGGTTTGGTGATTAATAAGGTGGAAAGTATAAACAAAGCGACGGCCCTGATAAAGACGACCTTTTTTTTACCAAAAGCATATTTCTGAATATCTTTTAAATATTTTTGTCGGTTGAATTAAATGTTTGTTGTTAGACCACTTTTCCACTTTCATCATACACAAAAGGAAAACGTGCAACACATAGTTTTCCAGTTTTTGGTGGTTTGACACGCTGCCCGGACAACTGTCTTGCCAGTAGTTTTATTATTATGCAAAATAAATGCACGCAACATTCAGAAAAAAGGGTGGATTGTAGAGTGAGCTTGTGACGCCAGAAAATCATTAGTCAAATTAATTTATAAATGATGAAATTAACTTTAAATTATCAATAAAGAAGAGAGTAATAGAGAAAAATAAAGAATGGAGGTTTTTTAAAAACAGTTTGAAAAAATCAGTATTGATAATTACTTTAATTATAATGAGAAATTTGCTAGTTAGTTCGATATTTTTGTTCCCTTGTTAAGACTAGCAAGAGGAGAGGATCCGATGTAGTCTGCTTTATTAAAGAGAATAATAATTGAGCCAATAGTGTGCTAATGACATATTGTTGATACAATGTCAATGATTTATTTATTTACGTCAAGATAATAAGCATTTTCAATCAAACCATTATCAACCTTCCTTGGGTACAATTACTTGGGCAAAAAACAAATATACATGACCTTAATGAAACAGCTCACTACGGAGAACATATTTTATTTGAAGGAAAATTTTCTTATCTTTAAATTTGTAGTTGTCGGAAATGGTCCGAAAAATATTCAAACTTTTGCAATTTTCCAAAATTGAGAGTTAACTGTGGATCAGACCTATGTTACTTTTGTAAGTGTATGTTACTCTATGCTTACAAGAAATTTAAAGCAAAAATTTGGATTCATTTTTGAGAAAATATTGAACATTGCTGAAGGGCTTCATGAAAAGTATCCCCAAATTTTGAAAGATGTCTTTCAACATCTCAAAGTTTCAAGCCAGATGGACAGGGGTTTCTTTAATTTGAAAAAAAATCCTTATTATGGTTTATCCGCTAGTAGAGTTCACAGGCACCAAACGGACGGACGGACGGACGGACTGACGGACGGACTGACGGACGGACTGACGGACGGACTGACGGACGGACTGACGGACGGACTGACGGACGGACTTTTTCAAGAGGACGAGGTATCTCTTGCGTAGGACTTAGACCTCTTAAGGTTTTTGGAAAAAAAACACCAACAGTTCAGTCTTCAACAGCAAACAGCTTCTGTTTCTCGCCAATGAAGGTGGTGTTTGGAATATTGCCGTTAGTGCTCGAAGCGAGATATTTTTCCTTTATTGGTCACATGGGTCTTTGACCCTTGTTAACATGCAACCCTATACGTTTGTTAAGTGCACTTGTACCTACCTATAGGTTAAGAAATTTAAAATCCTTTGCAACAAGTTTTAACATCCTTAGTAACTTAAATAAACAATCGCCCACTCATCGCAAGTCAACATTATTACGAAAAAAATACATGGTTCATTACAAGACAAATAGTAATCAAAGAAACGCATTATTTTTATTATTTAGGGATTAAATCTCGCGTGGCTTCCGCAGCTGCATCCAAAATTTCTTGAGGTGCAGACGAATTTTCAGCGTCTATTTTCCTCGAGCCACGGTATACAAGTGCATTATTAAAATATATCGCAAGCAATACCCAACAATATTGATTATCGTACCGCAACAACAGAATTAATGTGTTTCGCATCGCAGTAATTCGTAAATGTTCTAAAAAAAATTGAGATTTTATGGTGACTGATAAAACGCTGAACATTCCACGAAATGCTAAAGTGGTATTACTGCCTCGCCCGAATTAAAAGTCGAGGCGGAGCGTAGCGGAGACCCGATTTTTAACTTTTGGTATCGGCAGTAATAACCCTCATTACATTTCTAGGTATGTTAATAGCTATTATTAACTTAACTATTTAACTTAAACAGTAGCGTAACGAAATGAGTGCGGGCCCGCTCGTAAAACTTACCCAGGAACTCTTTATAAAAATGTATAGCAAATACAAGTAGTGTTAGTACCTTAAATAATAAAAATATTCTTTAATATTTATCCATAAACGTATTCATCAGTATATGAGTAATATCCAATATTGGAATAATCTGCCTTAATATTAATTAATAATAATATTTAATTTAATGCAATAAATACTATAATAAAACTCAAATGAATTGCTTATCTTTCTTAGATTTGAAACTGGTTACAGAAGTTACCGAAGCGAAGAAATGTCTTTATTCTTGAATTAGTTCTGGAAGATATTCTTTTTAAACTTTTACTGTATCAACTATCACAAAGTATCAAGTAATTAATATTTCTTACAATCGCAACGCCCTCAATCTAAAAATAAGCCGTGTTTTACCTGGGCCCGCCCGCATTGCGGGGACCCCAACGTTACGGCACTGCACTTAACTATATAACTAATTAAAAAATTGAATCGTTTATTTCAGAAACCCGTCAAACGTCAAAATACAAAACATGCTGTAGCGATGGATTATTGTTCCAGAAGAATACACAGATTGTTTAGTGCATATTTATATGAAAAATATTCATTTATCAACTCCTTTAATGAAAATCATATTTTCAAATCTGAAAAATTGAAAGACATATGTTTAGTTTTCTCTGAACGAGAAATTTGGCGCTAGAAGAGTTTCTGAAATAAACCGATTCAATTTAACTAGCCATTTATTGTACAGGGGAGGCGGGAGTGTCTACTCACCGAGCAGCTGCAGCACCACCATGACAGCGAAACCCGCTAGCACGCAGGCCAGGCGCAGGGGCCCGCCCGAGTCGGCGCGCCGCTTCTCGCGGTCCAGCACCTGCGGCGCCAAATTCCCGTTTAAGCCTATTTTACACGGTCATTTTTTCATCCTTTTTTCATCATTTTTCTGTACGGAAAGTGGGGTGGAAAAAGGATGTTCCTTTCTATGCAGTATGTTTCGGTGCCGAAACTGAATGAGAGTGATTCCAGCGTTTTCAATTCTGTCTTTGTATGTAATCGTGAAGAAAATACTTCCTCCGGACGCCGCATATAGCGCCGAAGATTAAACATTTGAACATCGCATCTGTGGTAAAGAATTAAGTTAGGTTATATTAGTACTGAGCACAGATGCGACGATATTAGTATACAGTTCATAATTTATTTCTCACTGCATAATCACTTCACATTGCAATTCAACACATCTGAACGCTCTCACGCAACTTAAAAATGAACAAATTGCTTCACACGCATAAAAAACCAGAGAAAGTCTCGTAAAGTGTTGCCAGGAACGCGGTAGTCAAACTGGATGAAATCTGTACCGAAAAATTAAGCATGCGTCATTTTTTCATACAAATTACATCCAGACTGGTCTGTATCTTTTCTGTACCGGCGAAAAATGATTAAAAAGTGATCGTGTAAAACAGGCTTTAGAGACAGCCACTCGTGCAATGTCATCTATTGCCTTTCCGAAAGGATATTTTTATGTGACTTTTATTTAAGTTGGTATATTTCCATATAACTCATTGAATTCTTATTAAATAGAATGCTGAATATTAAGAGACGTTGCATGAAGGTGTTGGCCATTAAGTAGTTAATATCTGGTTTATTATTAGTGTCGTTTTGTGAATAAGTACCAAGCTCTGTTTTTTAAATTTATTTTTGTCGACACAGTACGATGAAGTTTTGAAGTTGAAAAAACCTCTATTTATGACAATTTCTCTTGCTTCTAAAGTGTGATCATGAGGAGTAATTGAAGGGGAACACTATCTCACAATTCGATTACAACACTATCTCAGAATAAATGTTACAAATCTATGGGGCAATGTAAGGAGGTCGAAGATGATAATTTTTCAATAATTATCATGTGGCAGAAAAACTTCTTATAACGAAGTTAGACGTCGGATATTTAATCCTGGTTGGAAGATGATTCATCAAGTCACTGGTATTTGTCAGGCATGCGTTCTGGCGTATGGAAAGAGATTTTGTACAGGCCACTACATAAAGTAGAGTTTCCCACCAGATAAGGTCTCAGTGTAACCTCGTTATAAATATAAATTTAAGGTTTTCAACCTCACCTGTATTGGCTAAAAGTGAATATCTTCGACTACGTCCTAGAAGTTTGTAACATTTACCCAGAGCCCCTGAACGTACCTCGAAGAAAGTAATGTAGAGGATGGTGCCACCGGCGACGCCCTGCAGCACGCCCACCACCAGCGTCTGCGTGGGCGACGAGGCGCCACCGCCCACGCACGTCACCGCCACGCCCAGCGCCACGCCCAGCGGCGACACCAGCGCCAGCACCACCACGTACGCCAGCAGCGTCAGCACGCGCATGCCCGACATCACCAGCTCCAGCCCCACGCAGAAGAGGATGGCGCTCGCGTGCACCGACACCGCCGCGAACAGGTACCACACGTCGCGTTGCGTCGGCTGCAGCCCGATGGCCAGCCCCTCGAACACCTGCGCACCGCCTGCCTGCGTTACCCGCGCCCTACCCGGGCAGCCACGGGAGTTCACCTGACGTGTAATAGTGGTGCGCTAATGACAGGCGTAGACGTGGATGGGGACTTCAAATGGTTTGCATTCCAGAAAAACAGCATCTTCCCGCCTATTAATTTCACTGTACCGCTTACGCAGTAGATAGAAAGTTAAGTAGTGCGCGAAAAACGGCAAATTTTTGGCAGAAAATCTCTTATTACGTGCTCTAGTAACGAAAAAGTGAATATATCAGGTTTTTAAACATCGGGGAAAATCCTCTAACACGTAGTGATACCAGAATCCATGTTTTGTGTGTCCGTGATTCCGACAAATCGAATGACGGCAAAACGTCTGTCTTTTCATCGCAATGTCCGTTTGTCCATCAGTGAATAATATCAACTAAACCGTTCTGCCGATTTTCTTCAAAATAGATATTCTCCAATCAATATAGCTGTTCTCGCGGCCTCTTGAATATAAAATTGTGTTTTAATTGATGTTTTAATTTTAGGGGTACTTTACATGAAGCCCCGGGGACATTTTCAAAAAAATGGTTCCATCGTTTATGATTACATTTTGTTGTTAGGGAGTGTCAAAGATCTTTAAGAGAATGGTGCAGGGCTCATGTACGGTAAAACTCCTGATTTTCCGAAATTGCTAAAATTCAAACATTTTTCAGTGCCTTCCTACAACTGCAATTATGAAGACTGAAATTTTTCCATAACGAAATCTGTATCTTAAAAATAGATTAAAAAAGTAATGCAGAATGTTTCGAAAATTTGAGTATTTTTCGCTTAATTTTGTGCGAAAATACGGGCGATAAAGTACGTGATATTTTAGCTCCCCTATAGAATCCGGTCTTAGTATACTAGATAGATTTGAAAGAGAAATATTAAAGAATGTCATTAACTCAAAAATGATTGTTTCACATACAATGTGTGTGAACCAAGCCATCTATATATGAAAATATTTATTTATTTTTAATATTATTTATTGTAAAACTATTGACTATCAGGAATGACAGCATTTTGTGCAGAGAAACAAAGAAGATACGATCTCAACATTTAGGAATGAGAGAAAACTTAAGGAAAAATCAGGTCGAAGTTTTCTTTAAACACAAATAAAGAATACATTTGTAACTGACCTTATGTAGAAGATAGTTATATATAGAACCTTAGATAGAAGATATCCATTAAAAAAATAATTTGAACTCTTTATATTTTCAACTGGAAAGCTACAGGAAAATACAAAATATTAAGAACAAAGAATTCTTATAGAAAGCAAGTTTAAAGAGCTAATAAATATTTGTTCTCGTGCATTCCCTTCAAAATACTGCACGTTAGTTATTACACATTTTCTGTCAACTTAAAAGGGCTTCCATTCTTTTATTACAAATATCCCTAAACACTAATAATTGTTTTAACTTTTTAGCTCATCAAACTTCCGTTTTAGATCTTACAACCAATCAATTTTAAAATAATTGAGGTTTGTTAATTTATGTAAAAGTATTCTGACGAGCTTAAAATGTTTTATCGTTGATTCATCGTAAGATCTGAAATGCAATTTTGTTGAATTGGAAAGGTTAAAATGCTCTAAAATGTTAAAATTATATATAAAATGTTATAAAGAAATAAACCCAGGTTCAAATATTTTCCTGCAATATGGAGGATGGGATAATTAGAGATTTGAATTGAAAAATCATACTTTTTATTGCAGTTTAGGATTGATTGGGTGTAACTAACATAGGTGATATTTTTTAACGTTTGTTTTAAAAATTTAAATGTAAGACACATAAATAAATGAAAAGTTATCAGCGTTAAAAGTTACCAGAGTGAAAAGTTGAAAAGCAGTCGCATTCGACATAACGCCCTGGGACTTACTCTGCACTCACCGAATGAAATGAGAGAGCTAGCACCACCATGACGCTTCGCAGGTGGCCCATGACAGTCTTCTCGCCGCCGGTCGGCAAGTGGTGGTGATGATGGTGGTGGTGATGGTGATGATGACCCAAATGGTGAACATGGTGGTGATGATGATGGACTGCTGTCGAAATGGGCAGCCCGTTAGGGTCCTTTTGTTCCAAGGAGAGCGTGGACGCTAGCAAGTGCACCTGAAAGAAAATGCAGTGGTTACAAGCCATGTAAACTCCATTATTGGACGCGACGCGAGTGTGAGGAACTAATTAACTGAATAAAAAAAACTAGAATTGTATCAAGACCAGAACAATGGAGATAATGCAAGCAATAGGAATACCGAACAAATTAATTAGACTTAGGGGAATGACATTACATCATACAACTGGAAGAATCAAAAATTGAAAACCTGTTAACGGATTCATTTGAAATGTTCTCAGGAGTAAGACAAGGGGATCCATTATCGGCAATTCTTTTTAATATAATATTAGAAACAGTTATTAGGAAATTAGATCCAAGACGAAATATAATTTTAAAATGACAGCTTATAGGTTACGCACACGATATAGCCATAATAATCAGAAACAAGAAAGCACTTACTGAATTATTTAACAAACTGACAAAAGGTCAAAGAAGTGGGTCTCGCAGTAAATGAAAAAAAACTAAATAAATGCATATGACAAAGACAATTATCAAACGTTAAAGAATTACAAATAAACAACTACAATTTCCAAAAGGTGGAGAACTAGAACTATTTGGGATGTATCGTGATTGAGAAGAATATGATACAAGCTGAAATAAATGAAAGATTAAGAAAAGGTCAGAAAGCATAATATGTAAATCAAAAACTATTAAAATCAAAACTACTGCCAACAAATATAAAAATTAGGATATATAAAACTCTAATCAGACCAGTTGTTACATATGCAGCCGAAACATGGACACTTAGAGACAAATTTATAAATCACCTGAGAATATTTGAAACATACTGCGTATAATATATGGATCAACTCAATAAATGCTGATATCTGGAGAATTATAACAAATCAAGAATGCTTGAATCTAATAAAAGGGGAAAATATAATATGATTTATCAAGGTTCAAAGAAGCAAATGGCTGGACCACATTCAGAGGATACAGAGGAATAGATTACCAAGTAAGATCATGTCACGCATGGCGCAAAAAAGGCAGATCATGAACTCGATGGATGGACTCGGGTGCCAAGATCTTCGGGTGCTGCACAAGAAGGTGTGGACAGTGATAGAGAATGACAGTGAGTGACAATTGGAACAATTAAGTTGTGAAAACCAAGAACCACAAAGGGTTTCCCCTTCTGGGACGCTGTTGGTGGAACTACAATGATCCCGAGAGCTATACCGGCAAGCTAGCTACTGGTAGGGACTTCCTTGCCGGACAGGTTAAAGGAGAGGGGTCAGACGAAGAAATACTCCATAGCAGGATCCCCTATCCTTGCGGATGGAAGTCATCCCAAAATCTACGGGAAGGAAGCCCTGACAGAAAAGCATGGGTGGAAAGAACCCTGTAAGGCGAAGCCAATCCTTCTAGAGGAGTAAACCATAAACAAATCCCTGTTCTTCAGGATAAGGGTTCGACGTGAGGCAAGCTAACTTACTCAAAAATGCTACGAAGTCTCAACTAAACTTAGCAGGATGGAATCTACATACCGACCTTCGCAACTTATTTCGCAGACCAGCAATTTGGGTCTAGTTAAAAGAAAATTAATATACAAACACTAAAAATAAATAAATACTAAATTAAATTTTTAAGAATACCTATTTTTCATGCATTATATATTTTACAAAACAGTAAAATACGAGTTTTCCTTTTTACGATATTCATGATGGCGGGGTTGGCAGAGGTTTAAACAAATGCATGAGATACACGCTGCTACTCTGCGTGAAGATTTCCCTTTGCCTTAACACGTGTCGCATTGTCTTGCCTAAATCATTGCTAGAGCTTCGACAGGATATTGCTCTCTTGAAGCACATTAAGCGGCTAAGAGCCTGCCGTTTTAGCGCAACTATAGATTGATTGATAAAACCAATGTACAACCATTTACTTTGGGTAATCAGAAAGTGCGGAGATTGAATAGAGAATTCTTGCATTGAAGACTTCCAACTTCTGTTCGGATACATTAATCTCATGAAATGATCTATGACTATACTTTGTCTCTTTCTTGTTCAAATAATTTTCCGAAAGGCTTGGGTGTGGCGATTGCCTTTGAAGTATTGTTATCCTTTACATGACTTACGATAATTTCTTAAGTGTACCTTCAAATGGATGCTGCACAAGTTATTACGGGATGTGCAAATATTGTGCAGAGTTGTCTTTCATTTTCAGAAAATGTTGAGAATTTTCAGTTTACCAAACAATTAGAATGTTTACTGCATGAAAATATGTTTTTGTTGGAGGCTCATGTCAATTTTTAAAATGAAAATAACTCCTTAATAATTACCCAGCCTGACCAAAAAATGTTTTAAAAATTCCGCCATGCCAATGTCTGGTATAGAATTGAAAAAGAGTAAAATGTTAGGTGTCAAACAATAGATAATTACAGTACTAATTTTATATTACACTCAAATTATCCGCCTTTCTCGCGGAAACCGGCTTTAATTTTTCAGGTAGAGTCGCGATAGGCGTTTTAATACTGAAACACGTCCGATTTGCATAAAAATTTGTAACGCCATTTATCAAAATTGTCTTTTGACTCAGTGTTGCGATGTCTTTTCTAGCATGCTAGCTATTTTCTCTAGCAAGACCAAACAATTTAGATCTCGACAGCCAGAGGGTCAATTAGCGAAAAGATAAGTTAAGACTGGCACAATTGCTCATCACCATTCATAAGTGGTGTTGGTGTCAAGTATTAGAAGAGAAGGATGTTGGAATCACGGAAAAAATTCACGGAAAGGATTCTTCAACTGAAATGGCTGAAAATATAATCCACGTGTTTTCAACCTAATGGTATTGGATAAAAAAGTTATTTGTAAAAAATATTCTCGTGGGATAAATTTTAAAAAAATGCCTAAACGTTGGAAGTGTAATTAAACGTAGGTGCAACAAATTGCATAAAAAGTCAAGGCGGTGATTTGTTCTTCGTTTGGCCGTGACATGAAACTTATATTTTTATGATGAAGGACCGTGAATATTATTAGCTGTAATAGGATAATCTATCCTACAGAGATTCATAAAATTCTATATTGACGCCATCTTTATGCGCCTTCTACTCGCGTAATATTATATCGCGGTTCATCAGGGCCGTGGCCTAATAACTGAAAGACATGCGTTCGTAGGCTTCCGCGGCCGGAGTCAATACATTCTTGGCTATCCGGGATGAGCCGCGTCTCGGACAAATTGGGCAGACGTTTCCGCCATCTTGCTGTAGTCTTCTTCAGGACTGTGAAGACGCGGCTCATCCAGGACAGCCAAGAATGTAGTAACTGAGACAGATCTTGTTCACTTAAGCCTCACCTGGGAAGTGGCGGGTGCGATCTTGCTGGTGGAGCGCGGTCGGGTCCACGCCGAGCCCTTCTCCGCATCCCCGCCGCCGCCGGCGTCCATTTTGTGCAGCTCTGCCTCGACGGTGGCGCAGCACTGCGGCGGCGCCGACGCCACGGCCGTGGGCAGCGCTGCGTCGGGAGGCGTCGCCACGGCGGTGGGCGACGGCGGCTGCTTCTCGGGGATGGCTGGGGCGGACACGGGCGTCTGCGGGCGGCGTAGGTTAGTCACGTCGAAATATTCAAGTAATGATTATTTATGGACCAAGGGTGTTGTAAGGGTTATAATGATCGAACTGCGACCAAAAACCCGAGGGATTTGGTCCGAGGACTTTTTGTCGCACGAGATCATTACAGCTAGTTAACGCTCGTACATGATTTTATTTTACGTATACTGCGATTTTTTCAACTCTGCCGCTGTCAGGTATCAGTTGTTACCAGTTTCATTCAATTGGGAGCTTGAACTTTACCATAGCGACGTAACTATGGAACCGTCAACAGCTGATAACTGCTAGTTTTAAATGATTCAGACTTATTTATTTACCAATTAACTAGATGTTGACTTGACGTGGTTGGTCTTTTCATATTTCCCTCCTACATATTTCCTCTCTTAATTTATTCCCTAAGAGAACATGAATCATCATTCAACTTTTTTCTTATTTTCCTCGTAACCATGACTCTCTCGATCCAGGTAAGTTATACAGTGTGTATAGAGCTCCGTGTCAAACGCTATAACAACTAATATTCTGCGTATCCAGCATTTACCGTGGCTCAGTATCATTACGGCATCATTGTGGCAGGTGCATGTAACTTTATTCGGGGACCAGCATTTAGCTGAGTCCGATTTTTATTTCCCAGGGTTGTTAGCCTTGGGGGTATGGAAGATGAAATGGTGATAATGAGGGGTGAAAGGAAGACACACTCATACAGACATACACAAATACACCCATGCCCAAGGCGGAACTCGAACCCGCAATCTACTGGTCCAAAACCACTACAGCACTGCTGCCTTAGCGATCTCGCCCATCTGATTGGCATTATTATTATTATTATTATTATTATTATTATTATTATTATTATTATTATTATTTTATTACTATTATTTGAAATAAATTGCGCGTTTTCGTATCCCTTGCTAGTGAGTGGGTATGGCGTGGGTATGTTTTGTTGTCTCTGGCGTTGTTTATTTTAGCCTTTATTTTTGATATCAATTCCATTTCTTTTTACTTTCCGCCCTTTCTTTTAACTTTAATTTAAAACTTCTCTCTATAGATAATATATTTTCTTCATTTATTTTAAAATTACTCCATTTTCTCTTGACTTTTCCATCTACTTTCTTACATATTATTCTTACTTTTATATTTTATTCTTACATTTATTCGCAATAGTATTCAGAAGCCACAAATTGTGATATATATATATATATATATATATATATATATATATATATATATATATATATATATATATCGTGATAGTCCCCTATTTGTGTCGCAAGCACTGACCACTGACCTTGGGGGTCGCCAGCAGCGCGTCGCCGTGGGCGTGGGCTGGGGCGGAGGTTGCGGCGGCGGTGGCGGCGGCGCGGTGCGCGAAGGCGCGGTGCGCCACCTCTTCGATGACGAACACGAGGAAGAAGCCGATGCACACGCACAGCTCGGCGAGCGGGAAGGCGGAGTCGCGCGGCAGCAGGCCCCCGGGCGCGCGCCGCGCCGCCTCCAGCGACTCGCGCGCTTCGGGCAGCATGTGGATGAAGCACGTGGCCAGCAGCACGCCGCCGCCGAAGCACAGGCACAGCGAGATGGCGCGCTCCACCTGCGGCACACGGCAGGTGCAAACACACTCAATAACGCTGTTATCATTATTATCATCATCACCACCACCACCTTTACCATCATCACTATTATTATTATTATTATTATTATTATTATTATTATCAGCGTATAGGCTATTACTAACCACGCTATATGATTAACGTGTGTAATTTTTACAGGAACAGCTTTTCAGCTGTATCCGACATTAGGGCAAGATTGTTACGTCTTGAAGTGTGAATTATGAGATAAAATTATAATGGTGAGGGTGAAGGGACAATCACAAACACGACCATGTTTACGCAGGACTCGATCCAGCAGCCTCCTCTGGACAGACGACGGCTGCCGCAACAGTCTGCGTCATGAGGCAGGCTTAATAATAATTTTATTAATAACAATTATTACAATATTATTATTATTATTATTATTATTATCTTTATACACAGTTTCCTGGAATTGTACAATCATACAGATGTCAATAAAGGCATGATATTTTTGGTTTGATAACACTTGTAAAATATAAAATGAAGCCATATATGAAATATAAATTTAAAATGAGATCAAAATGGTTAAACAACCATTATATTACGTATTCGTTTTACAAATTATTACACAGTATTTTATTTCTCCGCATCAAACGGAACATAATTTCTACCTTTTATTCACCCAAGAATTACACAAGCCACACAACAAAAATTGTGATCGTGACTGAGGTCATACAATGTTTTATATACGTTTTTGGGATCGCTACGTCTGTCTCCGGTGTCCATTTTACTCCATCACATCAGGTTTTTGACATAACATCAAACAATTTTTGAAAATGAAAGATATTTCTGATCGAGGGGCACACCCTGTTGCTTATATGTTTTTGATGTCGCTGAAACCGAATCTGAAGTCCATTTCAACTTTATCACATCAGAGTTTTGACATAAGCTCGAATAATTTAAAAAATATGTCTCCTTGTTGAGAAGGTTAGTGATCTGGTGCATTTGATACAATCTGCCATAGGAACAACGTCGTGAGTGTTGTCTAGTCAGAGGCCAATGCCGTCTTTTCTATCAATTATAATTTATCTGAATTAAAAAGACTGATGTGACGAAGTTAAATGGATTTCAGATTCGGCTTCAGTGATTCAAAAAACATACAGGTAACACGATATGACCTATCGGTTAGAAATGTCTTCAATTTTTTAATAGTTTTTGAGGTTATGTCAAAAACGTGTTGTGAGAGAGAGAAAAATGAACTCCGAATTCGAATTTAGCGACCCCCAAAACATATAGAAAACAAGGTCTGATTCCCAAACACGAACGAAATTTTGTGTGGCTGTGTTATTGATTATTAATTATTATTATTATCATTAAAATAGTTATTTATAAACTAAGGGCGTTATAGGGGTTCTAATAATCGAGAGACGACGTAATGCCGGAGGGTTTTGGCCAGACAGCATTTTGTCGACTGATATCTTAGAAACCGTTAACGCCCGTGGTACATACATAATTTTTTGTTTACCAGCATAAAAAAACGATCATTTCTGTTGCAAGAAATCGTTCATAATCTGACATTTTACGGCAATTAGATCTTACGGCACGAATGATTGCGACGGTACACATTAAGCCACTCGCAGCGAGGCAATCTTGGGGAGGTAGTGGTAAATGGAACAGCCGACCACCGTTTTGTCGCACAGATGTCAAATGAGTCGACACACGGAAGTTGTTTGACATAACGAAGTTAATTCTCTTATACATTTACAACGCTGTAATACACAAAGATAGCGTATGCAACTCGTTTATAATTTTTCTTTTACTGTGTTTGTACAAATTTGAAAACTCTCTCCAACGTCGCTCGTTTTCAATTCTTGTACTCGTGCAATAAAGCTTAACATTATAAACTAATTGCATAAACTACTATTATTCTTTACCTAATTTTATTGATTCAAATTTACCTATTTACTAATTAACTAGATGTTAACTTGAGTCGGTTTGTCTTTTCATATTTGCCTCCAGTAATTTCCTTTTATAATTCCCTCCATAAGAGAAGACGTTGCATCATTCATCTGCTTTCGTATTTCCCTCGTAACCGCGATAATCTCGATCCAGGTAAGTTATGCAGTGTATATTGTTTACCGTGTCAAATGCAATAACAAGCTATAACGAAGCAGTGAAAAATAAATTTCATTTATACAGCATTTGCTGAGCGTTGACACTTGGTTAAACGGACAATTAAAGGAAGTGGTAAACTCGCAAGAAAAATGTCGAGAGTTTAGTGAAAAACAGCTGTCAATCAAGTACGTCTCCCAAGAAGTTTCTTACTGTATCATATGTATAGTGAGAAGGATTCCTGTAATTTTAAAATTTTACAATAATTTATTATCATTATTATTATTATTATTATTATTATTATTATTATTATTAACTGTCAGTACTACTAATTTACGAAGCGCGAAGATACTGAAAGAAAACTATTCAGGCTCCGGCCATGTGAGATATGTCAATAGTTTCATTAGATTCACAGAAAGACGAGAAAAAAACAGATAGTAACAAAATACACGAAAGAGTGTCGATTTTATCCGAAACATGCAAATAAACGAGAATGTCAATCCGCAATTTTTGATACCTGATAATACAACTGTATTCTCTTTCTTAGCGCGTCACTTCCTATGACACAGCTGACGTCATGCAACGAGGAAAAAGTACTCACGCGTGCTGTTTCAGAACAGCCAGTTTTTGCTTCGTCGGAACGCACATTTTCCACGTACACGACGACAGCGTGTTTGTTGCCTCAGAACACTAGTCATTATAAGTAATTATTGTAGTACTCGTATTATCATTGCAATAAGAGGATTTTAGGGAGATGACCGTTTGGAGGTATCCGACCCGATCTGATCAAGGGTACCTAAGAATTCTATTTCGAACGAGGGTCACACTCTAGATGAGATCTCAGAATTCCACGATTTCAAAGTGCTCTCGCGCCGGCACAAATCAGATACACTGCTAAATTTCTTTGTACTTTTCCTCTTTCGTTATTCAATTTCTGACTAACTTGGGTTTAACCTAGTTGGTAACGTAAATCTTATAGTTCTACTTAAATCTAATTTTTGGTTGAGGGGTCCTCTTATTAGGTTCGATTCCGGAAATTTTTTCAAGAAATAATATTGTAATTATTTAATTTTTATTTTGGTAGTGTGGTTCGGGTTTATGGCGAGTCTTAATATAAGAGTTGAAATTAGTAAATTAAAAATAATAAGTGTATGGCCAGGTATGTGATGTGATGGTCTATGGGTTCTACATTGAATTCTTTTTGAAGTTGCTGATTGGAAAGGAAGGAGCTCGAGAAATCCTGACGCCCCTTCTCCAATCAAGATTTGAATCCCGTTCCAGAGAGATGAAAGAGAAGCAGTGTGATCGATACATCATGGAGCGCCTTCTATTCCAAGTGCTGGCAAGCGACGCACTCCCAATTGGGAGATTACAATAATCTCCACTCCATTTGACAAGACGATTTTAGTTGAATCCGCACAGTCAGGAGGAAATATCCGAGGTATTCAATAACAAAGATTTCTTGGGGATTTCTTACAGTCGGTTTGTTTTCCTCCTAGAGACCCCATGCCCCCTTTCGAGGTCCGTAGCTGACGATGGTGGAATGAAAGCCACGGGAGTGGTGGTGGGAGGTGCAGCGGAGGAGACAGGACAACTGCGACGACACGAGCGGCAAACCAGTTTTGTCCACTATAAATTCCACAGCGCATAACAGTCTTGAAATCCGGTACCTGGTAGAGTTAACGCTGTTGGTAATGGTGGCAGACACCCTACATTGGGTCTTGGGTTTGCATCAAGAGTTAGACAAATGTTTACTCTTTGTAAGTAAGACGTTGTAGCCAAAAGGAAATTAATACGTACTACTTCAATGTCATAAAAAATACTAGTATCAACTTCTATTTCGTGTGCTCACCATTAATATTAAATGCATGTAACCCTCAAGACACTATATAAGGTGTCCCTTCTCCTACCAATATCTCAGCTCAGAAGGTGATAAGCAGATGTAGAAAATAAAAATTAATTAGGTGAAAATACATTTTATTTTTAAAATACTATTTTACTCTTTTAACTGTTTACTTTAGTAGAAGTTTGGCAATAAATTCCTACTAGTTTGAAGCTTGGCCTTATGGGAAAATGATAGGGAATTCCCGAATAGATAATACCATATTACACTAATGTTAGTTTTAGACAGGACCCAATTCGGCAACCCCATAGGGTCGGAACAGCGAAAGTAAGAAAAGTTGTAGACAGGTCGCGATGGAGAAACTATTACGGGTTGCAGACGGAAAATTCGATCAGTTCTAGACAAGTCACAATAGAGAAAACACACGGGGTTGGCACAAATAAAATCCGATCTGTTGTAGACAGGTTACAATAGGGAAACCCCTCAAGGTCGGCACGGAAAATCTGATCAATTTTCAACTGGTCACAATAGGAAAATCCGTACAATTGACACAAAGAAAATCTGATCAGTTCTAGAATGTCACAACAGGGAAATACCGTAGGTATGGCACGTAGGTAAAGGAAATTCAATTACCTCAAGACTATATGCTCACAAATGTTTTCTTCTTAATAATTCTTTGACATTGATTTTGCCCGAGGGTAAAGAGACGCTGAATAAAAATTATTTATGTTATGAACTTTCATAGCACAGGTAATTTTGTAACAATTGAAAATACTTTTTTAAAATACTTTTTTAAAACGACAAAGGAGCCACACTAACAAGGATAGGTCTGCAAATGCCAACGCCGATGAGGCTAATTTTTTTTCCGGGGAGTGTGTAACATTCTATGACAGATTGAAAAACACTTTTGCTTAAACCTCATTATTTCTAAAATTTTACTTGTTCTGCTTATACTATAGTACAGGGAGGGAAAGTATTGGAATCACCTGAGCAATTCGATTTCGAAAATTTCTGTAGGCTTAGACAGTCGAAGTCGCAAAGCCGAGACAATATCTGCCTCGGCTCGAAGGGTTGCGGGTTCGAATTTCGCCTCGAGCATGGATGTTTGTGACTTCAAGGCTGTCCGGGTGACGCCGCGTCGTTGGCAGAGAGGCCGACGTTTCGCCTGTCATGTCGCAGGCTTCTTCAGGGTAGTGACACAGTAAAGCTCCGCCTCCGGTGTTATATCTTTTTCAGCCTAGGGGCTCGAGTAACGCAAGTGCGCTGTACTGTGTAAGGCGAAACATCGGCCTCTTTGCCAACGACGAGGCGTCACCCGGACAGCCTTGAAGTCATGCACTCGAGCCGCGGAAGTCTACGTGTACATGGATGTTTACGTTTACTCGTTTTATCGCTACGTGTTGCTCCTACAGTTCCCCCTACAGTTCAAACAATTAAAATGGTCGCTATGACCAAGATGTTAGAAATCGACTTAAAATAGTTTTTTTAGATATATAACCGTGCACACACGTCAGGATTAGGGTCAATTAAAGCTTCTTCAAAAACGGTGAAGATAGGTGCAAGGGGCGAGGAGATACACGCAATTTTGTGTCTGAAAACTGCGATGTCTGTTTCAATGGATATACTAAAAGGTGTGGTCATAATATGCAGTGAATAATCGTATTACAAACAAAGTAATAAGCTTACAGATAAGAATTTGATTTAAATATTTTTTTAATACTGTTCTGAGCTTGCGATGCACTCGTCTCAAAATTGGATCCATGACTGCAAGGCATCTTTCGGAAGGGCTTTCAGTTTCTGTGAGCGAGGCTTCTAGAGTGCCGGAAATGGTGTTTAAAACGTTTTTCTTTAAGAACTATATTTTTTATATTTTGGAAATAGCCACAAGTCGGAGGGTGCTACAATCTGCCGAGTAAAGGTGGATGTGGACAGACAGCAACGGCCAATGACTTCCGATCACGAAGCGACGTGTGGCACAGCGCGTTGTCGCGAATGAAGAAAAGAAGCCATGGTTCATTTTTATGGTCATCTCCTTTGTAAATTATCAGAGGTAATACCAGAGGAGTGGTGACAAAAGAAAGTAAAGCAATTCGAGATGTGGTTAAGCCATCCCCACAGCCAGTTTAGGACGTTCGTCAAGGCGAAAGCTATCTTTTCCCCACCCGCCCAGACCCGAGGCGGTGGATGCGGAGGTGGAGGTGGAGGCGGTGGGGGTGGCGGTGGGGGGGCGAGGCGGTGGGGGTGGCGGTGGCGGAGGCGGTGGGGGTGGCGGTGGCGGTGGCGGTGGCGGTGGCGGTGGCGGTGGCGGAGGCGGTGGCGGAGGCGGTGGCGGATGTGGAGGTTGGAGGTGGAGGTGGAGGCGGAGGCGAGGCGGAGGCGGAGTGCGGAGGTGGAGGCGGAGGCGGTGGCGCAGGCGGTGGGGCTGGCGGTGGCGGAGGCGGTGGGGGTGGCGGTGGGGTGGCGGTGGGGTGGCGTGGGGGTGGCGGTGGGGGTGGCGGTGGCGGAGGCGGTGGCGGTGGCGGTGGCGGTGGCGGTGGCGGAGGCGGAGGCGAAGACGGTGGCGGTGCGGTGGCGGTGGCGAGGGTCGGTGGCGGGGCGGGGCGGGGCGAAGGGCGGTGGCGGTGGCGGGGGCGGGGGCGTACCTTCCAAAACACCAAAATCACAAAACTATATCCAGGCATTACAAATCATCAAAGAAAACAAAACAGTATCATTTAGATAAACGAAAGCACATCTGTTCCGTTATGTATCTTAAACTATCTCACATGCACAGATAAAACACTAGATAAAGCTGAGATATTGAGTTGAGAGCATTTCGTCACTTGTTGAGATATAACATTATCTTTACGTGTAATTTTTATTTTGCCCCAAAACATGCATGTTTCAGTGAAGTCAGAAGTTAAAATGGGAGGTTGCATATTGTGGGATTTCTCTCATCCGTCAGGACTTGGTGGGGGAAGAAACAAATGAGTTCAACGTCCAAATAGGCATTCCAGGTCAATTTCCATTGTTGGGTACCTAGAAACACTTTTTAATTTTTTCAGTTTTATAGAATGAGAGTGGTGAGGGTGGTGGTGGATAGGGGAAAAGAAAGGGCGTGTAGGAGGAAAGAAGACGAAGACAATATCTCAAGTTCTGCAGGTAGGAGGAGGGGTTGGAGAAAAATAATGAGGTGTCTAATTAGAATAAAGTATCATTTATCAGAAATGAGACCATATAGTTTCAAAGTAGGAATGGGGTGTACTGTCAAGTTGATGAAGATGTACATGTAGGTACTAAAAATTCAAACAACGTTGTAATAAATCCCGAAAGAAAACAAACTATTATCTTGTACATACATGAAAGTCACTTCACGCCAATTGTAATCCTGTATCAAAGCCACTTGATATCTCTTGATAAATAACACTAGACGTCATCGATATATCAAGGAATACCATTATACCAGCTGATGATCAGTTGATCATCTTATCGATTATGAAATATCTATTTTTGTCTTCTTTCGCACACATTTTATTTCTTCTGCTAATTATGTGCAACGTAAATTCAGTAATTTCATTGATTAGAAAAGCTGCGATTAAAATCACGGGGAATTTTATTTATAACGAATGCTTAAGATTATGAGAGTAACTTTAAAAACTAGTTTGAATGTGCGGTATCCTTTTAGTGTTTTGAAATTCATTACTTTTATCTTGTAATGAATTCTAAACGTGCTGACGATGACAATTCTTCCCTACAGGAAAGGAAACTAAATATATTGCTTTTCAGCGTTCTTCCGTACGAACAGACGAGATGCAAAGTAAGACATTCTGGTTTACATATCATTGAGAAAAGTTACAATTTCCGTAAAAATTACTCAACAACTTCACATTTAAAAAATTTACATGACATAATTTACAACTCTAAAATTGAGGGATTGATTATATTGTGAAATAAGTCAGAGATTAATACTTGAGGTACATAACAGTTTCGAAAAATATTGAACTTTGGTAAATTTTACAGTTTTAGAGGTTTTGGTATTTATTCCCCTAATTTTTCTCTATTCGGGAAAATCATAAAAAATTGCAGTTATTTTTCAAGAAATTTAGAAAATGTTTTATGGAAGCTTTACGTAAAGTACTTCAATAATTAAAATGTCTTAATTTGGGAAAGGTGTAACCAGATCTTACTTCTGACGTGTTAACCAAGTTGCAGCTCAAAAGCTTCTAAATTAATAGTTTTACGGTACACGTCCGTCCGTCCGTCCATTCCTCTCGCCATCCATTGAGATAGCCTTTCTGATTTTTGGATTCATACCACCTTGCACCTTCTGGGTACATCTTAATCTTAATCTTTGTAACACCACTATTAGAACTTCATCCCGTGTGTGAGTGCGTGGGAAGTTACCTATCAAAATAACCGTAAACACGGATTATAAGACCGAAACGATTTTTGAGGTGATTCTTCACTAAAAGGGAGGGGAGTAAAAACGAGTAAAAGAAAATGTTCCGTTCCTGGTGTCAGGTAGGCAGACGCTTCAAAGAAAATGGAATAAGGAAATCAGAAGAGACGTTGAAAAATAATAATGTTCCTTTAAATGGGAATACCTCAATGACTCAATCGAGGAAAAACGACGACGAAGAATCTAGGTTAGTATCACAACGGAAGAGGTTGACTTGCAACTGTGCAACATAATCGCCTCATCACACCGTTCAAACACTACAGCATTTAAACAAAACAAAAACGAAACTGAACGTGGTTTCAAATTGAGATATGACTCTTCATATTCTGTTAATATAAAAAAATATTCACTGAAATCTAATCAAACTTTCAAACAGCAAGATTAGTGAAGAAAGTTTCAATGAATTGATATAACGAATAAATTTCTTTTAATAAACTACTCCAAGATTTAAATAAGAGAGGAATATAAAAAAATAATGGTGCAGAATGATAAAAACTTTCACGATACCGACGCACTGTATAGTACTATCAACATATTACGGTTGCAATGATAATTTGATAAAACTAATAGTATAAAAACTGACATGGATTCTGACCACATAACATATTAGAGAAAGATATTTACTACATATCAGAGCATGAATTTTCCACTTTTTCATTATTGAAGATCCATAAATTAAGTTTTTGTCAGAAAATAAAAATTAAAAATGTTGATAAATCAGAAATAATTCATGATGAATATAGGGAAATGTTTCAACAGCAAGTTACATTCATAGAACATGGCGCAAAGGACGATGGTCACACGTTTTACTAGCTCCCTGCCCTTGGAATACTTTCAAATGCTCAACAACGATACAAAGGCAAGCCCTTAATAAAATCATTTTGAAAGCATGTAATTTTTAACATTTTCTATAATTGTCGGAGGAAATATGACGGTATTTGGCATATTAATGGTTATTAATGTACCATGCGCGTTATAATGGTTCTAATGACCGAGCAGCGACAAACCTTTTTTTTTGCAACCCTGAGTAGCCAGTGGATCTTTTCACTGAGTAGCAAATTAGGTGAGATCCAGTTACAGGTTTCAATACGTAAAACACATTACTATTAGAAATAGTTTTAATAAATTGTCATTCCAATTTTAAATCAAAGACATAACTTTCTACCTCTACGCGTCTGTTAATATCACAGTATGGTACACAAGTTTTCAAACTTTTTCACAACTCAAAATATATTAATTTTTAGTTAATGTACTCTCCAAAATTGCAACAGCATAAAATATTACTGTTCAGTATTCCTCCAACAAATGGCCAAAGTGTGAATGCAAGAACGATGCATTTCAATACAAGGTGAAAAATTTAAACTAATTTATCTCAACGACTGATGTTTGGAATTTTTCCAATATTACAGCCCACGAACGACATGACGTTTACAATCTAGAAAGTATACTTTGAGAGCAAGACACTACTAGCACCCATAGGGATGTGGGTGAAAATAAAGTGAGGTTGATAGGTAATGTTAATATGGAACCCACAATGTAATTCAATGTTGTATAGCTGTCTGAAGCAGCAAGGGTGGTAGTAGGTTGTAGTAAGTACCCAACGAAACAAACATGTGGGTGAAGCGGATGAGTACTTGTAGAAGCTAAACTAGTGGAGCTTAAATCATTATATCCCTAAGATATTCTCAAACCTTCCTAAACTAAAGCTTTCGTATAGATTCTTTCCTTTTCCTCTCCTTATTGGTTGTCAGGTCATTTCCTTTCCGTATATTCCCAAAAATTAAAATATAATAGTATCTAAAAATAAAACCATAAAAACAATAAGCGAGAGTAAATTAATCTATATTCTTCAAATTGGTTTATTTTGATAACTATGTAATGCAAATTTCTGTAATTTACCTTGAAAGTACTCGTCATGCCCTATTTCATTGTTAAATATTGTGTTAGCGTTATTTAAATATTTTTAGATGAAGTTACGGAAGTTGATTATAGCAGAAGTTTTGGTAAGGAATAAAAAGAAAATAAATGGCAAAATGGTTTTCTCCTTGATTGCAATGTACGTATACCATTCTATATTATAGGTCCAGTACTAGGATAAACTTTGCCGAAACCTCTTGTCATACAATAATAAAATTTCGTGATTTATGCTTTAGGCGATCTTAGCATTCTTGACCTAGAAGGCAGAATTTAGTTATTAAAGTTAGTTTTTTTATATTTATTCAGTTCTTTCGCTATCTCTCAAAGGCTTTTTTTCAATAAACATGCATATACACAAAAAAACTAATATTTAGTCTACTTACAATAGTACATGGTAGTATTTGCGAATATTTAAACTACATAAACAGTTCACATTGGTCCATATTACGTTTTGCCCAAAACGAATATTAAAAAAGTTTTAGATAACAAAGAGGGAAGAATAAGAGAAATCCGTACTACTGCTTGATAATCTGTTCAAGAATGCCATCTGTTGACAGATTTCTGCACTCTGTGAAGCGTATCTGTTCTCGAAGAGAAGACGGCACTTTAAATATTCTATGACCCGATTTGTGTGATAACAGATTGATTTAATGGTTCAGATGTTTTGGAGACATTACTGTGCTTGTTCCGAAAGTTACGATTGTGAAGAATATGCTAATTTTATGACCGTAGTTTTGATCATTTCGAGGACTGTGTTGCTTGTTCCTGAAATATTAGTTTTAAATCGGATACGGGTTTAAGAGGTATTGCAGATCAGTTGTTTTGAGTATCAAATGATGAAAGAGTGGGATACGTCTAACGTAGAATTGGGACAGTACATGTGCTCTTGCGAAATGAAAGAAAAAACAGTATTTGAAAATCGAGTAGGATATAATGCATGCAATTCATTTCGTATATGATAACTTAGTTTGATCTAATTTAAAATATCCATTAACCTGCTGAACTTTCGATTTAAAAAAGTGCAGTTTAAATTCATGTTTTTGGTTTACCACAATATTTACGAAAAAGTTGCTATTCACAACGAAATACCACGCTTTGAAATAATATTATTAAAATTTCCTACGTAATCGCTCCTTAAAAAACAACCATTTTTACGATGTATCTTACGAATACAAGCGTTAATAATACAATAATCGATCAATTGGTTTTTGAAAATTTGATTTATACTAAACGCAATGAAAAAGATTAACACCGTACTTTGAATATCATTAATATTTATTAAATATA